TTGACTGTAATAAAACACTCTCTCGAGTGACGAGGATCACCATGGCGACCATTAATAATGTGGAAGTCAAGACATTTTTACAATGCTTAACGCAGCTTAGAAATAATAAGTAATTCTATTAAGATGTCGAATAATATATTAGCTGTTAAAATTGCACAATTAATAAATACTTTCGGCGGCGATTTCGGTCGCGTGAAATTTAAAAAACAAAAGCATGCTTATCTGTTCTTCCAGACCATGCTCTACACCTACGCCAATTATCATCGATATCCGTTCTGCCGTTTAGGGTACAAACTAACTGACTTAACAAACATCCATCCATCTAATCTAATATTAGTAAGATTTATTTTTACGCTGACCCTAAGGAAGTACGATAAGGACTGAAAGAAGATGAATGCAGATGTTAAAACATGTTTTAGAATCAATAGTAATAAACTAGAAACCATTTCAAATTACGTAAATAAACTTATCAATAATATGAAATGCCACAGTGTATAGAAACTGTAGAGCGAATTGTGTCGATGTGTCACTTCCCTTCTCATACACAATGAAGCTAATTGAACATTGGTAAATTAAAACATTTCGTAAAAGCATTGTATTATTTCATACAATCAATTAATGTGCAGCACTAACCGATCCTTTGTTTCATCAAGCTTTTGTGTTTCTCAAAATAAGCCAATGTTTGATTGAATGAACAAAATTAATTTCCGTTCGTAATGTCCACTTCGGACGAAAATTTAATTTGCACGAGTAATGTAAGTGCGGAGCTATCGACAAATATGAATAAAAATTCCAGTGTTGTACAAGCTATTTTATTTCCATTTCACATTGATAAATTTGGGTTCACACTTTTTGGTATTTACTGTGGGTGGGTTTCTGATATTAGTGTGGATTTACACTAGTCGAATATTCATACGAAAAAATATTTGTAATCCCTTCCATTTCTTTGTAAACAGAGATACCAATGTCTCTTACCCTTATTCAATTTATTTAATGTACATATACGTAACGTAAAAATACAGAAAAATAGAACACTAACGGAATACCCCTTTGACTATTGGAAAATTTTGTAAACCGGTGGGAAAACATTCTGAATTTAAAATATACGAATTCATTTTACAACACTGAAAAATCAAGTTTAATCGGAATACAAAAGTTTTAAGCAATAATAGATTTAAATAAAAAGCTCCATAGTACAAAGAGGAAATTATCGCGTTTAAAGTTCCTGCTGCGAAAGCTCTATGTGGTTAAATGGTTTGATCGACTAACCTCGTGCGAATGCTAAATCACAATGAATTCCAAACTTTCGAAAATAGCTTCGGTTTATCCGTGCTTAATCGTAAATGTAAAGCTTTATCTATTTAGACGTAATAATAGCTAAAAGTTTATATTTACTCTCATGTACCAAATAATCTATTAATGATGTCAAAATATAAGAATTTAAAGACAATAGCCCAATTAAGATTCAATATCTTAACGTAAATCTTACTAATGTTATAAATGCGAATTTTTAGGTGGATGGATGTTTGTTAGAGTTTGTAGCCTAAATAGCAGAAAGAATTTCGATGACATTTGGTATATGGAGAGGATTGTCTGGAAGAACACACAGACTATTCTTTTTTTTTATACTACGTAGACGTAGTCGCGGGCGAAAGCTTGTGATACATATTTTTATCGTGGCCGAGAGTTTAAACATCACTATTTCACTATTGTCGTAAAAATATCTTGGAACAATCCCCGAGCTTGGAATAGTTATTAACGATATTAGTAAATTAACAAAAATCTGCTGATATTTTACTGATTAAAAAGGCTAATTCTTTTATTTGACTTACCAATATAAAGCCTTTATTCAATGTGGTTATTATAGCCTATATAGTACGTAACATTTACTACTTCGAGACAGCCTTTTTAAGGGTTACTGACTGTTAATTACTACTAATACACCGACTGCCTAAAGCAGTTCGTTTATACCAGTCTTATCTGTGTTTATACAATAAAAATAAATTCTTATTATTTCATCGCCTTATTACGAAATTTTATTCAAGAAAATTCAGTTTAAGAGATAATTTTAAGTTTAAGTTGCATGTATATTAAATTCGATTTCGGAATAAAATTGTCAGCAATAGCTGTATTCGGATGCAAGGTAATCTCGCTGCGCAGTTTGGGCGGACTCGACAAATCTGTTGAGAGGCAACTGAAACGTATCTGAGCAGTACGGCTAGGGGCACAGGCACAGTCGTTCCCGCGCCTCCGACACGATCGGTCGTGATTACGTTTTACAGAAATCGTCTCTTACTTACGATCATTTTCCCATAAAAATATTTTAAAAGTGCGTGTGACAATTGTGTTTGTGTTGTGGACTGTATTTATTTATGCCATTGATTTTTTTTTACAATTTTATGTATAAAGTGTTTGTGGTAATGTAATTTTCTAATGTAAACAATTTACTTTTGATATTATTTATCTATGATTAGAGTTAGTTTATTAAATATTTTTCGGAGAAAAATATAAGTTTATGTTATGTAAAATATTAAGTAATCTTTATTAATATTGCTTTGAAAACTTTCCTGAAACATTTTCAGGGCAGACTCTATTTATATGTAGTCTAGTTATTTGAGATTTTTAAAATAAATACTATCTACAATAAAATTATTAACTAAATGTCAAAAAGTAATAATGTCTAAAAATATTAAAACAGAATATTGCGATTTTCATCTGCAATTTAGATTAAAAAATAAAGCTGCTAGAAATTTAAAAATGTATTTAACCAATGCGATTGAAATAATTAATTTCTCTACAATTTAAACGTTAAAGACATACTAGCTTTAGCTCGCGACTCCGTACGCGCGGGATTAATATTAAACTTCATAATCATCCTATATGTTCATTTAGATAATGTTCTTCATCTATGCCTTCCCGCCAGATACATTGATACCTTCTGACTTATCCATCCGTTTAAATTATTGCATTTATTATACTAGTAAGAAATAAGATAAGAAGTATGCTATTTTATATGTATTGAGTTCACTGCGTCCGGTATTCTTTCCGGAGTTCCGAGAATCGGGAATTTCCGTCTCAGACACATTAAATACTGACATAGATATCTTAATCCATGTTATCGTTAACTAGCTTTTGCCTGTGACTTCGTTCCTTTATATATGCAATTCCAGATAGTAGTAAGTGCCAAATTTAATACAGATGGGTTTTTCCATTTCACAGTTACTAACAAATATCCAGACATCGGTCAAATTTTCACATTAATAATTTTAGTAAAGAAACCGTCACTTTAACTTAAAGTTAAAAATATTTAATCCAAATGTATTGATTTTTAACATTATTGATATTTTATCTGATGTTGTTTTTACACAATTTACATACCTACTACTGATTGGTTCGTGTAACTAGAGCAAGGCTATTTCAGATAAATATATCTCCGAGATGGAACACTAATATCTATTTTTAAAAACACCAGACAATCTGAGAATCTTCTAGTAGAAGCGAGCGAATAAAACGATTTTTTATTGGGATCCAGTAACAAACGTAAAAATGATATTTGAAATTAGTGAGTTAATAATTATTAGAGCGGACATTCGAAACATCTTCTTACTAAGTAGCAAAGAAACAATATTTCACATGCGGGCGTTTCAATCTAGACTTGGATCTTTGATAAGTTGTTCATATTGCTTTTGATAGATGTCACTGATGTTCTACAACATGGCGGATGTATGCTTCGAATACTGGGCTGTTGGTTAGACCAGTTGGTATCACTGCATTAAAATAGCACTAACGATACATTTTTATGAGTTTTAAACAGTGGAAACGCATAATACGTAATATCAGTAATGTTACGAACGTTCCTATTAAAAGCACTTTGCAAGCTAAGTCTAATATTAGATAAAAAATAATTAAGATGAACAGCTATCACTGTGTGGTTATTGCAGATTCTAGGAATCCTATTATCATAATAGGTTCGTTCACTTGTATATTTTCAGATAAGTCTAGCGTATATGAAAATAGCGAATTCAGAAAATGTGATTTCATATTTTGCAGTCTTTATTATGTTTCTTCTATTTGTGAAATGTCTCTCGATGTTTATGGCCATGTATATTGCAAATATCATTTGTAAAGTATTCATGATATTTAATTTGGTTATGTCGTAATTTGAAGTTCTAATATTGTAAAGAGGAAAGATTAGCTTTTTTGGATTTTTGTATGTATTTGATACAAAAACTACTGGGCCGGTTTTAATAATTCTTTCACAATTAGAAAGGTAATTTAGCTGTGAGTACATATTTTTAATTTCACGTGGACGAAGTCGCAAGTAACAGCTAGTATTTAATAT